CACCTTTCCCAGCCCCTTTAATCAAAACCACCTTGAGGGCAGAAAGAAGAAGCCCCGGCGGGGTCCCACCAAGAACAGAGAAACATCCCTTATCAGCTGATAGATCGTGTCCCTCCATCTCTCTCGCTTGATACACAGAAATTGCCCCTCCTCGCCCCCTTCCCAAGCAAGTGCTTTATAGCAAACAGCCCCTCCGGCACCCCATAAATTTCTCTGGCTGGACCAAGAAGAACCATCTCGCCCCGGTTGACTCCGGGGGAAACCAAGCGGCTGGCCCGGCCGTGGCGCACGACGATTGTTTATCTAAAGCCTGCCCCATTCCCCCGTTAATTGACGCCATTTCTCTGGTTGTTGGGCTTGTAATTATTATAGAGTGCTAGCGGAGTTCAAGCGCCTTTTTTGGATGGAAATTCTAGAGTTTCACGGGTTTCAGTGACCATTTTATTAATCATACGTTAATAGACGATTATTTATTCTACAAAATTTTACTTCAATTTTTTAGTCTTATTTAATTACCCTAGTTCTATCGGTTATTTGTCGCTCTCGCTCTCTCCGCTGTGACTCGCTGTCGCTCTCTCTTCTCTCTCTCTCTCTCTCTCTCTCTCTCTCTCTCTGCTATCTCGCTATCACGCCCTCTCTCGCTCTCTATTCAGCCCTTTCCCGTTCCACATCTTCTATTTGAAATTTATATAATACGCCTACTGCCTGCAATTGTCCTTTAAAGCGGTAACGGTCTGCTTACAATATTGTGTTTTCTAGATCCCGCCCTGAATCCTCCAGAAAATTTTTGCCTTCCCTGACCCTTTAAAATGGCCAGCTGCACTTTCCCGCCACGCTCCCCCAAAAGCCCCTAATCATTTTCTGTCCCCGGCGGCCCTATTTTTGGCCCACCCTACTGTTCAGCTCCCCGAATTCCTCCCCAATTCCCTAATCGCTTGTTTCAATCATTTTTTGCCTAATCCGGTAGCCTACCTGATAACTTTGACTTGGCGAGAGGGGGCCGGCTGGTCGTAAAATACGTCGCGAGCCCCCTGTGATATTGATAGCAAAAATTTTCGCCGCGCCTCGCTATTATTTATGAGCCATCAGTCGGGTTTTTAGATTTTGAGAATTTTTCTTCATTTTGTTGGTTGGTTTGCACCTGGAAACTTCTGTGTTCCTTTAAAAAGTCCTTCCGGCCATATGCCGACAGCTAAAATACCGACAGGCCAAAATCTTGACATAAAAAATGCATCCGCACCCAAATTTCGTTTTCATGAGTGTCGGCATTTTTGGGGTTTTCCGAACATAATGTTGCTTACCCTTTGGGATTTCCGCTATTTCGTTGGCTGGCAAAATGCCGACAAATACACCTGCCCTACGGCAAATACCGACAAGCCAAGGTGTCGACATTAAAATTTGGCTACGAAAACTTCGCAGTGAATGAAGTGACGTTTAGCTGTCGGCATCCGGCTTATCCGCTTTTAGCTTTCTGAACTTTGCCTGTCGGCATTTTACTGTTGGCATTTTACCGTCGGCTTCCTGGTTTGTGGGCATTTTCGACAGTATTATTTTAATGTGATTTTTTTATTGGAATCTTTTGTCGACAGTCGAGTTTCGGAAAATATCTGACTTACACGCCCCTTTAAAATTTTTCCTATCATTAGTGCGCTGGCTCTTGCCTCGTCGATGGCACCCTAACGGAGCGGCCGATTTGGCTGATTGACTACCGTAGGGCCATCTATCACCTCCCGGCACTCGGTGTATCATTTGCGAAGATGGGAGAGAGGCGAGAGGAGCTTCAGGAGCAGGAAGCGAGAGAGAGACAGAGTGAGAGAGAGAGTGCGAAGATCCACCAACAACACAGATAGATACACCGGTGGTGTATGTGCCTACCCATCCCTTGAGACAAATGGCCCCGGGGCACACAAACTGCTGGCCCGCGGGCCCCCTCGGGGGGCCTGCTTGCCGAGACCATTTATCAACCGGCTGGGCACTAATCGCCGAATCATGGGATGGCCCAGAGGCCCCGGGGCTTGGTGGTCTAATAGACGGCGATTTATGGGTTTTTTAAGGGCTGTTTTAGGTATGCGATTATTATTTTTCTAACGTTTGAATTTTCCTGGTCTTAGTATATACCGGAATATAACGTAACTGCTTTAAAAGTGCAATAATGCTCTTTGTTTGAAGCAACAACCTAAATGATTTGAACTTTTGTACAAAGTTTTCTCAAGTTCCCGTTTTGAAGGTAAAAAAAGATCAGTTTATTCGGTTTCTAAACATTCCTTCTGTGTTTACTTTCGATTTTTAAGCCCGTCTTGATCATTTTATGTGAATTTTGTATTTTCTTCTTTATCATAGCATAAAAATACCTTCCCATTAAAAATTTCGAAATAAAAAATCGCAAAAACCCAATTTTTACCCGTTTGGAGTGCCACTCCAGATAGGCGATTTGCCCTCCAATATCCACTTTTCTTCAAATGTCGTTCCGGCAAATCCCTCGACCCCAGCTGCGCCATTCCGACTAAAGTCACCCTTCCTGAAACGGTTCTTTGGCTCTAACTTTCCAAGTAACGTCCAAATTTGGCCCCGAGACCGCCCAGGGTTGCAGGTGGATTCGACGACGACCCGAAAAACACCCAGCTGCCCCGAAATTCACGCTTTCCAGGACTTTTTCGGGTTTTTTTTGTCACCACCCCGGGGCTGCAGCTGCACATTCTACATGCCCTTTGGCTCTTTAAAAATTACTGTATGTCCTTAAAAACCGTAGTTTTTGGATTTTCTCGATATCGTAGGTCTGCAGCGACCACCTGGCAGGTTGGCAAATTACTGTAGGGCCCAAAAAACACGATTTTTTGTTTTTGCTGCTACGGTAGGGTGGTGAGCTGCACCTGGCATTTATCCATGTTTTCCCATCCATCTTTTCTTGCGCAAACTTGTCAGCAATTCTCTCCCTGAAAAATGGGTTCAACTACGGTAACTCCCGTTTTTCAAACGCGTTCTTGTCCTCTCTTTCTCCCTCTCTCTCTCTCTCTCTCTCTCTCTCTCTCTCTCTCTCTGTCGCTCTCTCTCGCTCTCTCACACGCTCTTCGTGTCCAACACAGGCCATTTCCACTCACGTAAATCCGACCTATTCAAAAACCAACTCATTTTTCACGTCGTTATTTGGTGTCCTCGTACCATTCACCCACCCCATAAAAATGGCCCTTATCTGGGTGGTCGCGCGTATTGGGCGAGCACCACCGGCAGTTGCGCAATTTTCCATTCCGCCCTTCCCTCCCGGTGGGTAATCGTGTACCGAGTGTGGCTGATTTGCATATCGGCCAGTCACTCACTTGAGTCCGTATCGGACCAACGGCCGACTCGTCTACCCCACAGCATTGATAATCCGATTTGGCCGCTGGCCCGGCACATTTTGAACGCGTTTGCCGGAAATTTGGAACTTGGCCAAGCTTTTCGTGAACCTACAGGCTTGGCAATTGCAAAGGTTATGGAGTTTGGCTTCTCAAAGCCTCTAGCCCTTTTTGATTTGCCAAGTCTTTTAGATGCAAAATTTCCACATGAGCTTGAATTAAGCTTTTCTGTTCTAAGAACTATTTTCGGGAATCCGTACTTCGCAACACCTTAAAAACCTAGATTTTTATCCTTACGTTTCCGGTTACTATGAGCTTTTTTAGTCTCCTGATAGTCAAATTCAGGTTACAATTTTTGTCCCATTCACGTCTTTTCAAAAAGCCAATTTTGAGTTCCTTAACGCCGGCTTCTAAAGCTCGATTAGTCGACTTTCCGGCCCCCTTAAAACAACGAATTGTATGTTTTATTGTATACTTCCGGTACCTTTAGAATTAACGCGCAGAGACATTTACGGATCCTAAGCCGCCCAGAGAGCTTTTAAGCCAAAAACCTCAAAAAATTCCCAAGAACCCAGTATCAAAAGTAACATGCTCAACATTCCGCCACCACCTCCATAAACATCTCCTGCCCGGCAAGGTGTATTCGGTCCATAAGAGAAATGTGTCCCCAGGGGTCCTCCTCCTCCACTGCTGCCTGGTTTGGCCACTGAGCCTCAGCCGTCCATCAGCCCCATCCCTCCTTTCCTACAGCCTTCTCCTGGCCATCCATCCACTTGGTGGCCAAAGGAGTGTCGGGGAGTGCTCATCCCCGTCTGATTCATGCACTTTCACTCCTCGTTCAGCCTTCTTTTCCTGGCTTCAACGTCCCTTGAGGATAGAGGAGGGGGGATTGGGATAGTTGCAGCCCGCGTTGCTTTGCTTTGGACACTAGCATTGTTTGTTCGCTTTGCTTTTTTTTGGGTAAGAGAGTTATAAGGTAGCAAAATTCTGATTTTTAGCGTTTTTATAAATTTTGCGCATTAAATCTGAATATCACAATTAACGATAGTGATTCGCATCATAAAGCTAGTTCCCAGCTCATATTTTTAGATTTTTTTTTGCAAATTGCGAACATTTTAAACTTTTTTTGAGGACTACACTTTGAAAATTTTTATGATTTTCAGCTTTGTTTTAAGCTCTTCGTAAAACGCGAACTTTCACTGTCGTGCTCTTCTGGTGTCCTGGCCCTTTTAAAGTTTTTGCGAGATTGCTTATATGAATAAAATCTTCGTTTAAAATTCAAGAATTGGGCAACTTTTTACAAAGATTCAAAGCCAATTTTTTGGGAAATTTAGGCCGAATTTCAGCTCCCAGTTACATCGGCCCAAATGTCACGATTTCCGGTGTAGATCGTAAAACATACTAATTTTGCAATTTTTCCGTAAATTCTATTAATGTGGTCATTAATGCTGTATAACCCACTGGCCGGTCTTTCCTTTTTGTCGGCCACTCAAAGCCCCCTGATAATTGTCACCACCTGTATTTGTGGCCCCGGGGCATGATCCCCAGCATTGAACCGGTGATCCACTTTGTCAGCTACAAATATTTGTCTTTATTCCTTGTTTTCATATTTTCTCAAAAAATACAGTATGTTTTTAAACTTAAATTAAACATTGACATTTCAGAAAAATGCGGTGGGCCTCTTTTCTGCTGCTAATTCCAATATTACAAGCAGCGACACCTTCGTACGAGCCGCGAATAAGTGGGTTTTTGGAGCCAGGGAGCAAGATCCGAGTTAGATCAATAGTATAAGATTTGAAGATTAGCGTAATACAGTTACCCTGTAAACTGGCTAGTTTTAGGTTACATCGACGGCGACACCCCGGATTCACAATGTAAAACAAAGTTGGAGCGCCGAATTTATGGTGGGAGAATTTTCTTGTACAAAATTGCTATGAAATTCTTAATCGTCCGGATAATTTCGATTTACTGTTGTTTAAAAGTTTTTGAAAAACCTGAAGCTTTATTTAAGGTTCTTCCAGATCGAAAAAATTCTCGAAACCGGGGAAAAATATGGAATCATCCGAAAATCAGCTAGCCCCCGTTCGTTCCCATAATTTCTCGAGGATCAGTGCCTCGCCGGGGTAATTTGTCAGCCGGGTCCCGACGCGATCCCCGGGGCTCTAATGTTATCAGTTGGTGGGATCTGCAAAAACACACAGAGTCCCCCGGCCAGAGGAGGGGGCAGAACGGCCGTAAATCACGCGGGGGACGAGGGGACGATTCGCCAAAGCGATTACGGAGACAACTTACAGGCGGGAGCTGCTGGCCCCCTAGCAACTGATATGCATATTAGAAAGTGGATGTTTTCTTGGTATTAGGTGAGAGAGAGAGAGAGAGAGAGAGAGAGCGAAAGAGAGAGAGCCAGAAATCTGACATCTCGTCCTCGTAAAAAACCTAGAAAAGAAAAAATTTACCTTAAAATTTTGGCAGCAAAATCATATTTTCTTTCTTTTTCCAAAAACCTTCGGCCTTTCGCATTATCGGGGGTAGGCGAGTTTATCAAAGTGAGAAACCAACTTTTTCATAGGTAGCCATTTTGCATATGTATAGTGGCGCGTTTGTAAAGTTATTTTTACGATTCGTAACGTAAAGAGTTTAGTAATCGTTTGTAAAAAAAATTCAAAAATGTGGGTTTTTGGCTAAGATGGCAGCTTTTCCACGAATAAACAAATTGATTCTTAAAAATAGATCTAGCTTAATAGTGTTATCATCTCCTGCATTTCAGGCCTCTCCGGCACCGTCTATTCCCATTCCGAGTACGGCTACGCGCCGTACAACGCGACGAAAAACTGCATCGTCGTCCTGATCGCCCCGGTTGGCTACCGGATACGGTTGAGGTATGTGTTATTTTTGAGCGCACGCTCGCTTTGATGAATTTACTGTTACCTTGGAACTTTAATTTTTTTCAGGGTTTTGGACTTCGACGTGCCTAGCAGCAGCCAAAGCCGATGCAAAAATGGGGACACCCTGCATGTTTTTGATGTGAGCTTTTTATGAAAGCAAGAGAGAGAGAGAGAGAGAGAGAGAGGGAGAGAGAGAGAGAGAGAAAGAGAGAGAGGGAGAGAGATAGAGAGAGATCCGTTCTATTACCTCGTTTTCAGCACGAATCCGTCGTTGAACAAACCACCGTCACATGGGGAGTCGACGACATGCTGTCCCCTGGGGCTATCATGGGCCAATTCTGCGGGCGCATCAACACGAGCACAATCTTGGCGACTTCGACGCAGAATGCGATGACAGTGTGGTGGCATTCGGCGTCGCCTGGAGATGAACAACCTCATGTGGGCGGGAAAGGGTTCCGGTTGCACTGGAACGCGTACAGGGAAACGAGGAAGAATGGTGGGTCTCTCTCGCTCTCGCTCTCTCACTCTCACTCTCTCTCTCTCTCTCTCTATCCCTTTTTCTACGCTCCAATTACAGTACCCTGCAAAACCGATCGCGAATTCGCATGCTCAAATGGTGATGAATGCATCCCAGCTGAACTCGCCTGCAATAAACAATCAGACTGCAACGATGCCTCAGACCTAATCCCCAGAAGACAGAAGGAAAACATGTGTGAGAGTAAGTAGCATCTCAACTTTCAATTATTATTTCGTCCTCCAGATATGGACCTCGACCCTCTGTCAGCCATCTCGGGCCCACACCTCCTCCTCTTTGCCCTGGCTACCGTAATCAGCGTGGCATCGTTCTGTGTTTGCGCGTGCTTCATGTGCCGCTGCTTGCAAAGGCCGGGCCGGACGCAGACGAAGGATCATCAGAAGTATTCAACGGAAGGTCAAGGTAGGCGCAAAAGTTAACTTACTGTTGGTTCCAAACTCGAGACATTTTTGGGAGGTGGTGTAAAAATGCGCCTAAAAACGTAAAAGACCCTGAAAAAGCTGATTTTTTTATTGCCTTTATCCAAGGGGGGGGAAGGGGATTTAATGGGTCTAGAATATCACTATCTATACTTTTTCAGGCCTCAGAACCCTCCCCGATGGCTGCACACCGTACCCGCCCAGTTTTCTACCGCCAAGCCCACCCAAAATGCAACTACCGGCAGCCCAGTACAACCAGGCGATGCCAAATCAATACCTACCGTAAGTTATCGTATCAGAAATTTTTGTAATTACCGTAATGACCGTATAATACCGAATATAATCACGAGTATCGCAGGAAATTTCGTAAATGCATTTTCAACGTTTTTAACGAGGGACAAAGCTGCCGTATTTTTAATTAGCGAAGTGCTGAAATTTTATAAGTAGTCAAGATCAAATAGTCGACTTTTTACGCTTTAAAATTTTAAAAATCAAATTAATATTAAGTATCATTTTCAGTCGCTTCCCAAAACAACCCGCGGTCTACGCGTTCAGCGACGATCCGTTATACCTTATTTCTAATTAGCAAAGTGCTGAAATTTTATCAGTTAGTCAGGATCAAACAGTCGACTTTTTGCGCTCTAAAATTTTAAAAATCAATTGATATGAAGTATCCATTCAGTGGCTTCCCAAAACAGCCCGGCGCCTACGCGTTCAGCGACGATTCCCTGCCACAATCGAGCGGCGAATATGCGTTTGTGAAAGATACTAGACATATAATTTGAGCTTTTAATGCCCATTATACCTTGATTTTTATAGTTTCTACCATATTTTTTGTGGTTCTTTTAACACAGCTCGTGACTCCCACAGTATTTTAGACAGGGTACCGTCTATGCAAAAATTCCTCATCAGAAATATCGATTTTTTTTTTGTTTTGTCTCACTTGAGGTTGCGATAATTTCAAATTTTATTTTTTATTGATTTCTGGAGCTAAATTATCGTAATATCTGATTTTTGCCTACGTCTGCTTGGTCATATTCTGGTCTTGGATCTCATCTTTGTATTTTATTTCTTAATGTATGGCTTACCACAGCCGAATTTCCCCCACAATTTTGAGAATGTGCTATCGCCGATGCGGGTAAAGCTAACTGTGTCTGTTTTTGTTTTTATTCGCATACTGTATTGTTGTAAATAAATCCATTTGAACTGCATACGGTAATTTAAATGCAATTTAAATGAAAAAGCGACAAAAAACAGAGAAAAACTTTGATGCCAGCAAACAATAAGTTATAAAAAGTAAATACCATTTTGAAAACCATAAAATTTAGCAATGCGAATTAACTATAAAAGTGCAAAATTAACTATTTTGGTTTGCGAAACGGAAGATAAGTCGCTAATATGCATATCAAACGAAACTTATTGAAAAGCTTTAAAGTTGAGCGACAATATATGTATTATTGTTTTAATAGAGTACATTATTCTTTATTTAGCGTTATCCGTTGCTATTTTCGCAACAAAATTCCGACCTCGAAACCCTACAAACAATCTGCTATCACCTAGCTTCTTCCCGCGAGTTCCGCCCAGGTTGCGGGGGAGTGAATTCTTCTCTGCCCGTCTGTATATCCCTCTCGATCTCTAGGTTCTCTCAACAAGAAGCCCAAGAAGCCGCATCCTGCGCTGGTTTCTTCTCTTCTCCGGGGGCTACCGTCTTCCACTCGGGACCCGCGACTGGGGGTCTCGAGAGGAGAATCCACACACAAAAATCCCTCCCCCGAAATTCCCTTCAGCCACTAGCGCCCTGGCTATTTGCACACCCACATTTTGGCCATAATTTTGGTTCCTTCGGGTTATCATTAATATAGATTTTCTGCCTGTACCTCTCCGGGAAGATTAGGATGGATTTCTTCCTTAAGGTTTTTAAAGGGCGACCATGACCATCGATTTTGTGCTGGCTATCGATTCCTAAACAATTTCCTAAATGACCACTGCACGCAACGCGCACTCCAATATTTCATTGCTTAATGAATTAACACTGATAGCCGAATCGCTTGCGTCACGTCAAGTCACGCCGTCGCGTCGACAAGCTAATAGTAAAAGCAACTTTGTGGAGTCCCAAGGTAACCATATAATCAAGTTTTACGCATCCTTTTTTGGGGTGCTTTCATCTGGACGGGAAATAGAAATTAATTCGATCATCTTATCTGAGCTGTTTCACCTGGAAACTACAATATTTAAGAAGGCGGGTGAGTCCAGTTCTAAGTAAAGATAATTAATGATTTTAACGAAATTCCGCTCCACAGATCTTGCAAAATTCAAGTTGATGTCATTTCAATGAAATGAGCACAATCGTTCAATCAGTTTAAAACCCGCTAAATGCGCCAAATCGGCTTAGCGAGCTTCGGATTTTTCAGATGATCATTAGGCGCGTTTCAAAGCCGATATTTATCGCGTTTACCACCCGATTCCGCATGTCCGCCGGAGAAGGGGGGATAGCCTGCCGGGGCGTCTCGGTCTTCAAGGGCTTTTGCCCCTGGTGGTCGGTGGGCCCCATCCCCTCCTCTTCTGTGCCCTCACTGTAATGCAAATAGACTCAGGGGGAAAAGCGCGTGGGGCGTCCCGGGGGCTCTTGCCAGCCTTCGAGATTTTGCTCCTCTCCCTCATCCACAAATCCGCCACCATTTTGTCCTTCTCTTTTGCCGTATCGATTTTTGGTGTTTTAAAGTGTCTTTCTACGTCCACATAATTTAATTTTCGGCGGCATAAGGTATTTCAGCCTCGGGATGTCGTCCTGGGCCGACATGGAGCTGAGCTCCCGCTACGGCGGAGCCATGGGAGACGATGAGGAGGTGAGCCTGAATTTGACCCCTAAGGAGCAATTGTTTCAAGGTTTTGTGATTTGGCATAGCTCATTCAATAGAGTTTAAATTTACGAAAGGCCCCACTTTTCGAAATATTCTGAACGACAACGATTGCGCAATAGCGATTTTCGAGAAGCACTTGTGAAAGTAGGGCCAAAAATAAGCAAAATCAGATTTTTTCAATACCGTAAACTTTCAGAAGATTTCTTTGGAGCTGCGAGTTGTTAAAAATTAAATGCCCTATCGGATGGGTTACAGTACATCGCAAAAATACCGGTGTAAAAAACAAAAATAAGCCCTTGTGAGTGCTCTTTTAATATAGTTTTCAATGTATTACACAAAACAATTAAAATGATTGTTAGAACCAGCGCAAGTCCGATGAGCGCGAGCGCAAGAAGGCCGAGGTGCGTCGCCGTCTCGAGGATGCCAACCGCTCCAAGAAGGCCAAGAAGGGTTTCTTGACCCCTGAGAGGAAGAAGAAGCTCAGGGTGAGTCGATTGTGTTATTAATTAAGCGCAATTTTGTACAAAAAATACGCGTCCGTGGCTTTGAAACTGCCGCTATTTGCAATAATATTCTAACCAAAAGTGATCAAATCGCTATGACCTCATTCATTTCAGAAACTGCTGATGATGAAGGCCGCCGAGGATCTCAAGCAGCAGCAGATGCTCAAGGAGCAGGAGCGTCAGCGCATCCTCCAGGAGCGCATCCTGCCGCTGCCCGACTTGAACTCGTGCGGTGAGTTGCGGATTATCTGATATGATCTTATCTGAAGTGACACGCCGGTTTCCAATTAATAATCTGCAAAATTCATCAAATACTCGTAATTTTCAGACGTTGACGAGACGTTCGAGGAGTTCCTGGAGCGCGTTTTGGAGCTGGAAAGCGATGTAAGTGGATGTTAATTTTTTTGAGACTGGATTGGATTTGTTTTCACATTTTAGTATTGAATCGGGTATTTTTTTAGCAAAAAAACCTTAAATGTATCCATTAATTTAGATCTACGATCTCTCCTACACCGTGCGTCAAAAGGATTTCGAAATCAACGAGCTCACCATTGCTGTCAACGATCTGCGCGGAAAATTGTGAGTTTTCAAGTGTTTTCTCTTAATCAATATTTTCTAGCGTCAAGCCCACGCTCAAGAAGGTCTCCAAGACCGACTCCAAGTTCAACAAGATCAAGAAGATCGAGTCCCAGAAGGTACTGTCCTCAAAAAATCATAAAACCTATTCTTCCAGGTCGATTTCGGAAGTGGCCTCCGAAAAGTCGAGAAGAACGACTACTCCGTGGATGCCGTAAGTCAATACAGATCATTTTTAAGTTTTTTTTTAGCCGAAAGAGCCGAAGGAGAAGCTCGAGTGGCAGAAATAAGAATCCCCCGGCATTCAACAACCGATGGGCCGTCGACGATAAAATCGAAAATCTACAAGCAAAAACATGGCTTCCTATTTCCCTTTTGCACCCACACACCCCGCTTCTGCCTTGTGCCTGTGTAATTTGTAGCGTGTAATAAAGCATGTGACACCGGGCGCGACGATACTGTGCGGAAATCCTGTCTGGAAAGTTGACTGAATTTTTGAGACGTACACAACAAAAGTACAGAAACCGTGAAACACGGAGGCTGTGACAATCTGGCCGGCAGGAAAAGCAAATAGCCAGCGAATTTTTATGGACTTTCAAGCGGTCAGCGTTTACCCCACCCCGGCTGGTCTCTTCTGGTTAATGGGGGTACAGTAAACCGTAGCCTTTCAAGCTTCCGGTAAAGCGGGATATCTTTTTAAATCAGCAATTAATAAATATTGCGCGCAACATTAAAACCCTAAAATTTCTGAAAATTTTTGTCGATCCTGATCCCTGCTGGAAAGGCACGTGCATGGTCCGTCAAGGTCATTACTTTTTTTGTGTCCTGGCCGGCTCGGTGCAACGCCGTTTTCAAAAGGTAGCTTGGATTCCGCTTAGGCTACATTAAAAGAGCTTTGAATTAGAATTTTAACTCCTGCTTACACGCTAACTTTTTGAAAGCGATTGCCTGGCTTTTGTAGAATTTATCGTAGAAGTTGTTATGGTCAGCAATCGGGAGTTACGGAAAATTTGCGACGGGATTTTCAGTGGTTTTTGGTAAGTGTTGGTACGTATAAATCAAGCCCATCAAAATGGCCAAGAGAAGATACGGTAAAATTTTTACAACGTTTTTTTTAGTACTCGGCATCTTCCTTATTTTTATCCCCACCTGGTTGATCGCAATTTGGCTGAGCCCGCCGCCTGAGGATTTGATTGAAAAGAGTAATAGGGTATTTTAATTACCAGAAGCCCCTGGAAAAAGAACGAAATTTAGACAGCTTTCCTTTGGAACGGGCAGTGGTATACATTTCCGGAAGCCGCACACACCAAGGCAGCGTGAACGTAAAGATGCTATTGAGCAACGAGGTACGATGGACTCAACTAATGACTAAAAAATTTTGCAGGGCTTATAAAACGTGGAATCTCGCTTATAAACGTTAATGAACTTTTCGTTCATAAAATAAACAAAAAAAAGCGGCCGGAAGAAACGAAGAAAACGCCGATGAGAGCGCTAATAAACTTAAAATTGACCCTCAAAGAGTCAAACCTACCAATAAAAAGCGTAAAATCATTTGTAGTTTGAGGTATAATATAACTAATGCGTGAGAATATTTATAACGCTAAAATCACGCTTTTTTTCACGGCAAAAATACAGCCGAGGTCATGCCAATAAATCTCGGCAGGTCCAATCGAACCTTTTGTCCCCCTTTCACTTTCTCGCCCCTCGACAATTACCCATACCACATGGCGGCGTTGATCCATCGACATTCCCTTCTGCTTTTTTCTATTCGAGAGAAACGATACTCATCTATTCCTTCAAAACCGGATAGAAATTATCATCTAAAAATACATACCCTACTGCCCACCAGGCCGAGCAATTTGTCTAAAAATTTTCGAAGGGCTACGGTGGCGATTTTAGGTAGGTTTTGAAAACCTATCAATCTATTTTTTAGCGATTGGTATATTTCTTGTATTTGTGCCCACTTTGTTCATATCACGATATTTTGGGCCGCCCACCGATGTTGAACAGCATGGGAATCCTGGTAAAAATGAGTGGGTTTTTTATAGAATCGGATTCTAGCTCAATTCGACCGCTAATAATCAAACTTTGGGTCTTCTTGGGATGCTGACGTCAAATACAAATTTGTAAGGCAGAAAATAGAATTGTTAGTCTCTGATTTTTTTTGATAACCCTATCGATTTGATTGACTGGGATTCGATAAACTCAGGGATGCTAATTTCAACGCTGTTAATATATAAAGCTTGAACACAAATAAATAGTTTGTTGTTAAAACTCCAATTGAGAAAACCAAATTAAAACCCGGAGCGTTCTCTCGCACTCTTATACTCGCTAAATTCTCTCACGCTCTTCCCTCTCACCCATCGCTCTCTCCCCCTCTCTCTCCCGCTCTCGCTCTCTCTTTCTCCAAAAATGGCCGATCAAGGTACGCAAACCGTTTTCTGCTGACTTGGACAATCCATAGAGTCCAACCATTCCAAGTGCCTTTAAAAGACACAACGTCATCACGAGGTGTTCCCCCAAAAAGTGACGAATTTTTGGGGTTCTTTAAGCTATTTAAGGTCACCAGAAGCGGGGGGATAGATCGAATGAGCGACTCTCCCATCCCTCCGTCCATGACCTTCATTTCGACGTGATCACATTTTCAGCCTCGCTTCACTCATTCTCTCCGTATTTTTCGTTCTTTTTGCTGCTTTGGAGGTCCGAGAACAACTTTCATTAAGGGGTATCTTCAGCTCGGGGCCGGTTATCCGTTTTACCGATATCCCAAAAATCGCTTCGGTATTTTGCTGGGATTGAGATTTTTGCGACGCCTAGACTAGAGTTTTGGATATCTTTTGGCTATAGTTACAACGATCTCTTTTGATATTCGTTTCTATAACTAGCTAAAGGAATAGTTTTAATAAAGTGCCATGATAATTTTATGACGCTTAAATTATTTCACACCTAGATGTAGGACGACAGTCCAATTTTAAAAATATTTGTATATGTGCTGATAGCAGTTTTCAGTAGGTTTAAAGCATCATAAGCTACAAACTTCAGCTGTTGGGTTAATTTTCACGTTTTTTTAGTAGATCGGCACCCCGATAGTCTGCTGGATTTGGGGAAAGAGCCCGTCCCGACGGTGACGAATTTCTACAATGAGGAAAATTATGTAACTTGTACCTGATTTTCTAAAAATCCAGTTTTGCCTTTAGGACAGACCCGACGCCCCAATACTACGATAAAATTTCACTGGACCAACCTCCGAAGCTCTACGAACATTTGCACATTTTGGGAAATGTCGCGGAAAACGCGATAGAGTACGTTTTCCAATTTTTCAGCACGCAGATTCGTATTTTTAGGTTTTGCGTGATTTTGGCGCCGGAAGCAGATTTTGGCAAAAATGCTCCATGTCAAGTTTGAAGTGCTTATTTTAAAGGGAATGGTAAGTCGTAGTAAAGCGCAGTAATAGGTTACTTATCTAGACTCGAAAATCATCTACACCGCAAAGAAGGATGGGAAAGTGCAATATACGTACGAGGCGCCTAATCCATTCATGGTAATTTTAAGGGAAAAACACATAATGGCATGTTGTCCAAAAGCCGCTAAAAACCGTGTTCGATTTGAGTTCCCAAAAACAACTCGCCTTTAGAACGGCAAGAAAGGGACCTACGCATCCGATTCGTCGATAAATACGTCGCAATTTTTGCGCAGCGAGGTGGAAATCGGGACCTTTTGGAAAAGTTACCCGAGGTCCATGAGGTAGTTCAAAATTTTTATTTAACTTTTTTAATATAAACTTTTAGGCAAAATTCCTGATTGTTTCTGGGAATGTCACGCGTTTAAAAGCTATTGAAAGTTGATGGCGGCTCACGCCAACCAAGCCCTAATGTCACTTTTTCGCTGGGAAATGATACGTGATTCGACTTGTTGCTTCAGCCCTTGCCGGAAGGTATGGATTTCGGAGGATGTTTAGATTAACTGGATCTGTCGCGATTTCAAGACTCTTTTTAGTGAATCCGGATCGATTGAGGCGTTGATCGAAGGGAAGTATCCGCCGAGCCAGTCAGCTGGTAGGTTTTTTTGCTCTGTGGTACGGTTCTTAAATCTCACAGTTGTCATCTTCTATCGGATAGGGTTAAGGGTTTTGCGGGGGTAGAGTCACTACCCCGAAAGTCACTACCCCGAAAAATCACTACCCCGAAATAATTTGCAGGATTTTCATAGGAAAACCGCATGAAACTGGATTTTTCCGGGAAAAACAATGCTATCATTTTTTTCGGGGTAAACGATTTCGGGGTAATGATTTATCGGGGTAGTGGGGGGGGTGACTTCTCGGGGTAGTGACTTTTCAGAGTATGTGACCGGACGCCGATAGTCTTTTATCTTTAAATGACAAAAATGATCAAATTTTTTAATGATGAGTGAGCTACTGAAAAAATGGACGACGTTTGCTCGCCTCCAAGTGATGAAGAGGCGGAGCTGGGTTAAATCGAAATTTTAGGATGGACACGCACAAAGCGAAGGAGCAGCGGCGGCGGTGCGAGGCGGTAGTCACTCAAGGAGTTCGAGCAGTCATGGCGCCAGTCACAGTAAAGTATTTGGCTAAAAAAATCTATGAAAAATTGCAGGCCATTCCAGCGGCGGTGGTTACGGTAGTTCGTCGTTCCACGGGTATACACTGTCATCCCACCGGTCCTCTTATCACTCATCCTCAATCCTCCCACTCGAACAGCGCTGAAAAACCGCAATGAGGGGTCTATTGGTTTTCGCCGCCGGTTGGAGGTAAGCCACTTTTGTGAGATAGCTTGATTTTCTACTCGATCGACTTTAATAAGTTGTTTTATACCGTAAGATTTTATTTAATGCCCATTATCTGCCATATGTTCAACGCCGTTTCAGGATACTACACAATTCCGCACTCACCCAATAAAAATGCAAACAATACCCACGTCTACACGCCCGCCTCCTACTCCTACCGATGGAACGGCAGCACCCATTACTCCCCCAGCGAGGGCCACGGCCTAAAATACGACCCAAGCTTTGTCGTTGACAAGGGAACTCTGCCTAAACGTAAGGGTTTATATGAATTACGTACGTTTTTTTTTAGCTAAACGGATCGATATCCTGTTCTATGTAGCTAAAGAAGCGGAGATGACACCTGCCTGGGTGGTACGTTGCATCGCGGTTTCGGTGTTACAAGAACTGCGCTAAATTTCATGCTCCCGGAAGTCGTGTGAGCAAGAGTACTTCTTATCATATATTCTATGACTATTCTTAGAGAGCAATGGCTTCACGTTTTTAAAATTAAATGCAAATTTCTCGCTATGGTGACCCAAAAACGACCCCCTACCCACTATACATATTTTTCAAAAGTAACAGCGTTTTCGGTGTGAAACGAGCAATTAACATTCGAACAGCGCATCATTCACTCCTTGCTCTGCTTAAAGGTCAAAAGCCCTGAATTTAAATTGTATTTTAGATGTTAAGGACTTAAAAAATTCTCACCTTCCCGCGTCTTCAGGTGTTTCGAATAGTTGAAGAATTCACCGTTTGTAGGTCTCCTTCCGTTTCACGGAGCGAAGCGTCGTGCTCAACACCTATGATGGCCATTGGAAGGACGAGGATCGAGCCGATTTCATGCCGATTGACGATTGGAGATTGTAAGTGTGTGGAAGGAGCACAAGCTCAAAACGCAAAATATAAAAGATCGACAAAAAGCCCATCGCGCAAAATACCAAAAAATGTCTGTATTTAGGGTCGACCTCGTGATCTGGAAGTACAGCTCAAAAATGCACATCTTTATCAACAACTACGAATTTGCCACGTATGACATGAACACGCCGCTGTATAAAAGTAACACGATGCGGATTACAGGGGATTTAGAGGTTTGTAGCCATCAATTGTATAGATAAATTTCTTTTTTCAGATCCTTGGCGTGAAAATGAATGGTTGGTCGGTGGAAGGAAACTGAACTCGATTATCGTAGCGTGCCGGTTGCTGTGATTTAAACTCTGAGAAATGCTCACAGATACGCTTTGTACATAAAATATCGAATAAAAATGTCATAATCAAAGAGCGGGATTGCATAAACACCTCAATGCTAAAAAATGTGGCTTTAGTGATGGGAGATGATCCGGGGCGAAAAGAGGGCAAAAGAGAATGAAGAAAGATAGAGTTAAAGAAAAAAAGAGAGAGAGAGCAAGAACGAGAGAAAGAGACAGAGCGAGAGAGTGCGGGAGAGAGAGTGAGAGAAAGAGAGAGAAAGAAAGAGAACGTTGTGGAGAATGAGATAGATAAAAATTAAGAGAGACAGGAAACGAACGCTCACACATGCGGACCGGCTTTGAAGGGAACCGGCGGACCAGAGTTTGAGATGGCTGGAGTTGAAAAATACAGATTACATTTATTCACATTTTGTTGTTGCTGAGCAATATAGTAAGTATTAAATACTAAATACTAAACGACAAATAATAAATACTAACATAGTAAGATAAGTATTAAACTGTAAACCCTCAAATCTCGCCTTTTTCACACGCTACTATGTTTTTGAAGGTCATCAAAAGTTCAAATTTCCCTCCCGTCTCGTCCCTCTCCTTTTTCCAGATATCCTCACCCATAAAAACAAACAATTCGCGGTGGATAGTTACGCCGTCCCTTCTCCTCCTCTCGGCCACTTGTTTTGGCAACCGCGCGGCGGCCCACGCGGCAAATTTTCCACTCGAAAGGCTGGCTTGGGCTTGACGGGAATCCCTAAAACCTCCTTCTGGCTGCTCGACACCATCTATTAAACGTCTTAAACCTACAATTTTTTTACTGTATAAATTCCCAAAATACGATCAATAAATTATGGAAACTCGACACGCTCCCTTATTGAGAAAACCATCGCACTCGAGGCATAAGGTATGTTTTATATATATTTATTGGGTTACATTTTTTAAATTTTAATAAAAATCATCAATAGATTAATAATCGAAATCCTTAATAATTTTGACAATAAGACTATCAAACCGTTTAGCCAAAATTCTACCGTATCTAACAAAGAAATTTTTAATTCTCTGATACCTTCCTGTAAAAATATATCATTTATTCTGCCGTTAAATCCGTTAAATCCGTTTCAGACGCTAATATCTACGGCATCTGTGATATGCTTGGTAGTTGTTGTAATTGGTAAATTTGCGCGTTTTTCAAAGTTTCTTTTGCCTTTTTAGCACTTGCTGGCCTCCTCATTGCCAGCTATTTTCTGAAGGAGAAACCGGAAACCCTCGAAACTTTGGTAAAATCAATATAGTTTGGAAAAAGTTAGCTTTTCAGATCAACGGAACCGACACTCAGGACACTTCCGGGCGGCTTGGCACGTTGACTTCAGATACAAAATTGTACGATACAAGAAGGTTCCCAGAACAGGTTTAGGTAACCAGCTAACTAAGAAAGATATGATATCAAATTTATCGACGCATCCAAAGAGACTATCTGTGTTCCTGTGTTTATGTGAATAAATGTATTTGCTATCAGCACCGTTAATTTCCGATTTAATATACAATCCCTAAAGCTATATTAGATTAACAAAATAATTAATTTTGAAAAAATACGGTCCGCCGGGTTATCCGTACTATAATACAGAAGGACTAACAGCTTACAGACTAACAGATCAGCGGCTTGGATGCCAATGAATCGATGGCACACTCATGGCCCGGTGTATTTACCCTTTATCTTACCATGACTCAGTCCTTTTTTGGAGCCCAGTCACCCCCCAAGCGCCCTAAACCGCACATATTCTTCCTTGCCTGGTCTCTACTCGCTAAAAATGCCCCATTGGATAAATAGGAATCGGCGGCAAAGTTGTGATACTGATGGTCGCCCTAAGGAAAGAAAGAAACCGCCGCTAATATGCTTCGCGATTGCTGTGATACTATGTAGGTAAGTTAAAGTTAAAGGATTGACTGGCTGATTCTTCAAAGTCTCAACTTCCAATATAACCAACATTTCAGCAATTTCTGCCGGTTATTTATACGTTACCTTTTTGACCGGGGCGGGAGAAGAAGGGCCACCGGAAGAGATACACTTTTGGGATGA